TGCAACAGATGTACACAGACAAACATATCTCCTGTGCTGGAAAGATACATAGACAAAACAATTTTGTTGTCCTGTTCAAAAATTCTGGTTGCCCTTTGCGATTCATGGTGGCTGCAATCTGTTTGGCCTTTTCCCATCAGGATTCTGTTCTAATGATAAACTCTGCAGCATGTACAGAAATTGTTCTCAAGCCTATGTTAACAGTCCTGATAATATATTTTTTAGGTTTCCTCTACGCTCAGAACAGTGCCAAACGCAGCATTAAAGAGCGGCTTATGAAGCTCTTGCCCTGCTCGGCTGCCAAAACGACATCTCCTGTTACTCAAAGCAAGTTTTATTTTTCATTTTTTTCATTTGACCTTTTTTTTTTTTTTTTTTAGGTTTGCATGCATCAAAAGTTATACTTTCATTAACTGCTCATTTGAGAGGCGAGATATCTGCTGAAGTAATCATATGGTTTATCGAGGTTTAAAATCTAGCGGTGCACAGATTTGTCTGTGCAGAGTAGGATGGCAAGACAGCAGTGCCATGGTCTGCCACACAGGAGCTTGGCAACTGCAGCAGAGGGGATAACCAAAGATTATCAATTGGCACTTATGATCTGCAAGTTAGTTGACAGGTGATTCCCTGGTTAAATTTAATACCTGCTCTCCATGTATTTGGAAAGTGGTAACTTTTTGGCATCTTTATACACGTGACTGTGTGTGCTTGCTATCCAATACACAGGGGGTACCATCATAACTGCTCTGGGAGGAAATGATTGGCCCTGCAGGTTTTGAATGTAGAACTTCAAACTATTTAGGGAACAGGACTTAAAGTTGGTGTCTGAGAGAAAAAGAAATAATGAGATTGAAAAGAATGTGAATGTGAATATACAGGAAAAGCACACTGATATTCTACTGAATGTTGATAAAATCTCTCCAGAGTAGGTAACTGATAAATATAGAGGGGCAGCAGGAGTGAGAGATCAATACATAGAAATATATATATATATATATATTCCTAGACAAAGTTTAATTGTAGTAATAACACTATAATATCTTCCTATATAAATTGACTCCTATAGCAGATTTTAAAATATCTCTCTGGATCCAATTCAATCTAGATTAATTTGACTGAATTCTAGGCACTAATATGAGCACCTAAAACCAGAAGCTGAGTTGTCCATGTGTTTCCTGTATACTGTTCTGAGAAAGCATATCAATCAATCTCAGGTGAAAAAGGCCTTCAAGAGCAGTTCCCCATGTCTAGTGAATCCAGGACAACCAAAGGCAACTGGACTAGAAATACAGGCCCCTACTAAATGTCAAGACTTCACAGGTATAGATCTAGGGTTTCTTTATGCTATTCCCCTTCACTGTCTTTCATATGCTTCTCTGTAAAGAAAACTCTGGTGCTTGCTTTCCTCTTAAGTATTTGAGATGAGAAGGGTTAAATTTCTGGATGTAAACTGATTTATTTTTTTCATGGTGTCTTCAGCTGATATGTTTTGATTGAAAATAAAGTAACATAAAAACTGCTGTTACTGTTGGGGCACTTGTTAATAACTCTTTCTGGATAAGTTACTTTCAGCTGCATGACCTGAGCAATATAGCCCTAGACAATAAAAGAAATCAGAGAAGCACAGGTTTGCTTAGTTGGAAGAGTTCTCCTGCACAAGACCAGGTTGCTCAGATTCCCATCCAACCTGAACACTCCCAGGGATGGGGAATGGAATAGATAAGGAAATAGAACAGAATGGATAGAAAGCTTGATCTGTTTGTTTGAAGTTGCTGGGTGACTGACACATTCTTCATCTGCACAGGTAACCAAATATATTTAGAGTCAGTCTCAGAAACCTTGACCATGTCAAACTTATATTTTCCTTACTGAAATTATTTTATAAACCAGAAGAGAGGTTGAACTATAACAAGTATTAAATATTTCGTATTTGATAGCCAAGCAGTAAAAAAGGTGTATTCAATAATTTTCTCTGTAATCTCCTCAATAATGAAGTAATACCCTTAGTAAGAATGTTATATCAGGTGAAAATCTTGAATAAGACTATCATGTAGATATACACTGTTATTATTCCATTTTGACATCATGTGCTATTTCATTTCTGCTAGCGTGAAAGAAGAAACATTATGGTGTCCTAGGAATGAAAACAGCACCACTTGCAATAAAATTCACATTATGTGAATTCCTTAGAAATTATCAGAGAAATATTTTTTAAAAAAGTAATTTATTGAAATAGACATAGCCTGAATTTACACTTCTGCACTTCTATCTATATTTGCTTACAAAAGGTTATCTAAAAATGTAAAATCTTGCTTCAGCATTTGTATTGAACATATTTCAGCATTCCTATTGAAAAAAGCATGTAAAAGAACACTTCTTTGTGTGCTCTAGTCTAGTAAGTCTAAACATCCCTAGATATGTGCATATGCTAGTACACTAGGGTAGAACTACATTCAATGGTTTTGAAAAAGAAAAACATGCTAAATAGTTATTAAATCGTTAGGGAGGCTATAATGTGGAGTTTGTGCAGGGAAATGCATGTGCACCTTTTTTTACAGATATTAATTATTTGAAGAGTACATTTGCTTTTTGCAGTGTTTTTACCATCTTGTTTTTTAATGAGTAATGAAAGGTTCAAAGCATATCTCCTATGACATTTACATCAAAAAATGTCTTTACTATTTAGCTATAAGAAATCTACTAATTAATGAAATCAGAAAGAATATTTTGTTTAGTACATTATTGAGGGATTGTGGACTTGTTTCTGGTTTTCAGTTTAAATGAAATTTCATTTCTATGAAAAAAAAAAATTCCTAACTTATCTAGGCTGAATAAACCAAAGAACTGAAATAACTAATGCCATACAAATCATTATTGTTTAGAAATAGATAAAAAGAGAAATTGTTAAAATAGATTTTCACACACTTGCCTGCATATTTTAAAGTATAGATTTTTCTTTTCCAGCCTGGTAGCTAGAACTGTGAAGAAAAAAATTAAAAACCTGCAAATGACTCATGAATGCTATAGTATTTTAGTCATCACAGTTGGTTGATTTTAAGGAAGTTTATGATGATCTTGCATTTTTATTATTTCTATCTATAAGATACTAGAGAATTCAAGTGTAAAGAATGTTATACTGAACCTTTTCATTATCATCAGCCTATTGCCGTCTTCTACATGCTCACTGAATCATTTAAAGGCAATAAAAATGTTTACTACTAAGGATATACCAAATATTGTGCTCAACACATTGTCTGGCCTTTATCTCTAGCCTCACATTTATTATGTGTATTCATTTAGCTTCCAGAAAAGCTTGAAGATGTCTCTCTTGGTAGCCAGATGTTTTACAAATGGGTGCTTAGAGAACTCATTTCAAGTCTTTTTCTGTCTAAAACCAAAGCCCATTTAAATCCCATGTAACCATCCAAATGTAAAATACAAGTGAGCTTTCAGCAATATTTATTCTCAGGTTGATTTTTTTGCCAATTTAGTCTAAGTACCTAATCTTGAGTTGTGGTTAACAAAAAAAAAAAAAATCATCTGGATCACACTGAGATCATCCTCCTGAGATAAGTGCTAACAACAACATATCTTTCACAGGCCTAAATTTTGTGAAGATTGTTTAAAATAGTTTATATACTATTAAATATCTCTTTAAAGGTTGTTTATTTTTTGTTTATCTGAACTGTATCTTTTGATGCCAAATTTCTCCCAAGCAGCTGAAAGCTATTATTTCTGCATTATAGCAGAACAAAAATATATGAAACTGTAGGCATAATACTACTTTAATTGAGTATTCTAATACTATGTGTTTATAAATATTGAAGCAAATAAAACTTTATTCCAAGAATAAAGAGACCCAAATTCTAAAGAAATAAAATATGCATCTTCAGCATTGTAGAAGTGAAAATTAAGCATTTGTATTGTTATATTTCTATAGTTCCTATAACTCTTAAATCAAAATAAGGCAGTATTTTCATTAAATTAATTTGGAGTACTACATAAGTTACATTTAAGGCTGTCAGTAGTTAGAAATGTACACACACATTTGTATTTTTGATCACAAGTGACTGGCACTCTATTGTAAGTTCCTTTAGCTGTTTCATTGAACTTTCACATTTAAAACTCTACCTAGGAAAATATGCATTGCTAGTTCTCATTGTTTTAAGTCTACACTCAACTGTAAACCTTGAATGCCTATATTCACATTCTTACTTACCTAAAGAAGAGGTCACTAAAACTATCGTGTTCCCCACTTAGGCTGCTCACCCTCAATAATATTTCTCCTAAATGATCAGTTGTATGATACTCAAACTAAGACCTGCTGCTGGATGTGCATCATCAATTTCACACATTTTCCAGAAGACAACTTCATAATAAAAATCCCAGCCTGATACAATCAATTCACATCCATTATCTAACTGAAGGAAAATTTTCAGTTTTCTGGAGTTGCTAAGATTTTATACAATTGTTTGATTTGGTCAAAGAGTTGTACGAACAGAAAAGTCATGCTGAATGTATTATGCATGCTCTTGCAGGATGTCTTTCCAATTTATTACTATTATTACTCATGAGATAATATGCAGGCTACTGGATCATCACTGCTGTTCACTATTCTTTGCAGCCACAGAAGCAGATTTTTCCTTTTTCCTATGAGTTTGAAATGGACTCATCATTTGTCATTAAAGCTGCAAAAAGCAGTCTTCAAGAGACTGTCTTTTCTTTCTTCTTCCCTTTCCCTTTCCCTTCCCCTTCCCCTTCCCCTTCCCCTTCCCAATCCTCTTTCCCCTTTCCCTTTCCCCTTTCCCCTTCCCAATCCCCTTTCCCCTTTCCCTTTCCCTTTCCCTTTCCCTTTCCCTTTCCCCTTTCCCCTTTCCCCTTTCCCTTCCCTCTTCCCTCTTTCCTTTTCTCTTGTCTGTCTTTTTGAAAGGGTTAAGTATTTTTAATTCCTGTATTTCTTGTTGAGCTTTCCTTCTCTGTCTCTTCTCTGTATTCTGCAGACACTGTAGAAGATGAAATGGAAATGGCCACAGTACGACATAGACCTGAAGCTCTTGAACTGCTGGAAGCACAGAGTAAATTCACAAAGAAGGAACTTCAGATCTTATATAGAGGTTTCAAGAATGTAAGCACTTCCTTTATGAATTTGTAATCTGTTTATGGGATGTGCCACTGCAGTCTTAGCTGTGTAAGAGTGACTAGCACTGTAGCTCGTGAGATTCAGTAGCTAAATACTGCATATCTGACCAGATGAGGAAACAATCACTCTGAAACAATTGGTATAAAGTCATTAAACTATTTAATAAACAAAAGGTGCAGATGAAATAGAAAGCATCAAGGAGAGAATAATTATAACTCAGTAGGAAAAGTTAGTTACTCAATCTTAGTTGAATAAGTATAACTTACATAGTAGGACTTCGTTCAAAGAAAAATTGAAAGTTGTATTGAGGTTGTTTGTTTAAGAATAAATAATGGAAGAGTCCTGAAAAATTTGGTCAGTAAGAAGAAAGATTTTGATTTTTGTATTCACACGAGCTGTCACAAGAAGTAATTTATTTCAACTTCACTAGATGGCTTTTTTATTTAGTGAAGAGTTGTAGATAACTTCATCAATTCTCACTAGTTCTACTAGTTCTACAAATCTATAAACTTCTTAGATCCCTTTACTAGGAATAATTGTGATTTTTTTTTTTTTTTCCATGAAAATGTGTGATGTAGTGGCAGGTCCAGTGTTTTATTTGGCAGGGATCCCAACTGAGGATCCCAGCACATGGGTGTAGTCTGCCCCATTTTCCAGTGTGTACAGCTGCCCTGTAGTGCTGGGCTTGGCTTTGACTTGTGAGGTATGCATGTCTAGTACAGCAAAGAAATAGAACTTAAAAAGACGTTAGTAAGTAGTACTGAACTCTGTTTCCTTAAAACATATACTTTTTTTCTCTATTTATTTTACTATCCTTTGTCTGATTAAAAATATGTGGAATATTGAATGCAGTTAACATTGGATAGAAAATATTAAAGAAATATTATATTAAATATTAATAATAGCAGATTTTTAATCATCAGTGTTTAATGTTATCTATAATTTCAGCTGTAAGTATTGCAACTGTGCAGATGCTATGTCTCCTGCTAAGCTGAAGCTAAAGATGAATCTAATTGCATTCATCACCTTGTAGTTTAGTTTTTCTTTCACCCTCTTTGGGTGAAAAGGGACGACCTCTTGCCCACGGCATTTACTACTCAGATGAGTTAATAAAAACACATTGAAGCTCCATTGTGGAATCAGAGAGGATGTCTTCAACAGCTTGGACAGGAAGTGTAAGTCTTGCAGAGTTCTTAGCTCTCCTGCATTCTGTAAAGAAAGAAAGACATGCAAAGGGATGTTTTAAACACATATTTTTATCAAAAGCTTGCAATGCAAGCAAGAGTCATTTAATGTGTCCTGTCTGTATCATTCTCAGTTCCAGAAAGTATATAATGTTGGCATGTTAGTGATTAACAGTGATTGCTCTTAAAAGCTTTTCATTTCCTCAGGGTTCCAGAGAACATTCCCCTGCTAATGACAATATTCTCCAGGCATTGCAAATCATGATCTAATGTCCCTAATTATCTAAGGCAAAAAAGGTATAAAGTATAGTGGATAAAATAAGCCTTTGGTCTCTTTCTCCAGTAATAATTATTTTTAGAGTTTCAGAAACTAAGAACCTTGATATTTCTTTGCATAAAATGCAGTATGGAGAAAGAGAATAGGTTATAAGGAAGTATTTTAATGGATATCTTTTTTTAGCATTTTCTGAAAAGGGGAATTCCAGCTCTTCATATGCTTTTCTGTTCCAAGGTGTAAGTCCTACTTACATCAAAGGAGTGTTGTGGTAAGACATGGTAATAAAAATTTAAAACTAAATTTTTATCCATATGTTTAATTTCCTTATCAGTACATGAGGATTCAAGACATGCATGTATAACATATCTTTGACTAGATAGAGTTAATGGGCACGAACTTCAGTGGTTTTGTGTATAATATCATTGCAAAGTTATCAATTATGATCTGAAATGCTGTAAAGCATGCCCAGGGCTAGTGACTATTATAAAGATAAAGCAGTTTAAAGCAGTATTCTTTAGCCCAAGCATTAGATTTGAGAAATGGATAATTTCAAACTTTTTGTTGAGTTGGAGTTTGTTTTATTTCTCATATTAACTGCAATATATGATGCTAGATCACAGTTCTCTAATCACTTCAGAGAACTGGTAGGACAAGTCTGCCTCAGCTCTCTGAGCATCTTCTCTGTGCTGATTAGTTCACCTTTCCTGACACATATCTACCTTTTATCAAGTATATCTTGAGTGGCTGTGGTGGGTACTGATCCACAATGGCATTGCAGCGTCTCCCATGGTCTGTGCTTGGACCATCCCCCCCTTAGAGTGCTCCATCATCCTCTTGTGCCTGCCACAGGCCACCTGCCTTCTCGCATTGTCATCCAGCTGAGTGCTATCCTGCCAATATTCCAAGCACATATCAGCCTGTGTGCTTCACGCTTTGTGTACCAACTTCTCCTGGGTGCCACCCAGCTGGACACTGACTTTGCTTTGTTGGGCATGAGCCAGCAAATGTGTCTGTCTATGCAGAAAAGGCAGTTCTCTTTAGATAAGGCACTTTCAGCAGGTGGAGGGAGCCCTGGAGGCCACACCAGCCCTTCACTCAGCACTGGTGGGGCCACATCTGAAGTGCTCTGGCCTCTTCTGGGCTCTCCAGTAAAACAAAAGTATGGGCATACTGGAGAGAGTCCAGCAAAGGGTCACAAAGATGTCTAAGGGACTGGAGCACCTCTCCTGCAGGGAAAGGCTTGGAGAGTTGAGGCTGATGAGTCTGGAGAAAAGAAGGCTCAGCAGGGATTTTACCAACATATATAAATATCTGAAGGGAGGATGTAAAGATGGAGCCAGGCTCTTTTCAGTAGTGCCCAGTGCCAGGACCAGAGGCAGCAGGCACAAAGTGAAGCATGGGCTGTTCCCTCTGTACATCAGGAAACACTTTTTCACTCTGAGGGTGACTGACCACGAGCCCAGATTGCTCACTGGGTTTGTGTCATCCTCCTGCTTGAAGATATCCAAAAGTTAGCTCTCTGGACATGGTCCTGGGGATCCTCTTCAGGACATATGCAGGAATGTGCAACCAGATATCTCCAGAGATCCCTTCCAACCCCAGCCATTCTCTGAGTCTGTGACATTCTGTTAATCATTCCACTAAGAAGGAAACTACTGAAAAGATTTAAAGAAAGACACAGGCACACATATTTAACATGATGCCATCAAAATCTTGTGCAGATCCTACCTCTGTGCTTTATGCTTTTTACCTGATCTTTGCCTGTCTTACTATCTCTTTGATAATTTAAGTATATAAAGCAAGATAAATTAAAGCATGAACTTATGTTATGGTAGTTCTGCTGATGTTGTGGTCCTGTTAGATGAAATTAGCAGCATCCTACAGCACATTAGTACTAATTGAAAAGCTTTTTTCTACAGAATCTCACTCCAGCCTGCTTATTTCCCTGAATCTTTTTGAGTTTTAGGATGTCTCTTCTGAGATAGAGATGAACAGAACTTTTTATAGCTTACCTCCAGTTATTTGTTATTTCTGACTTCAAATTGCTTACAAGTAGTTCTGGATGACTTCAGATAAGGAAGCAGTAAAATACACCTGCATTTCCATAGTGTTGATGATTACAAAGTTTGATTTATTATCACCAATTTGATTTTCCACTGAACACAAATTACAGGCAAAATCCAGGCAGAAGGAGCACAGTGTCTCACAGAGCATCTTTTTGTGTACATAAACACAGAATCACTAGGTTGGAAGAGACCTTCAAGATCACAGAGTCCAATCCAGCCCTAACACTTCAACTAAACCATGGCACTGAGTGCCACATCCAACCTTTTTTTAAACACATCCAGGGGTGGTGACTCCACCACCTCCCTTGGGCAGGCCATTTCAGTACTTTATCACTTTTCCTGTAAAAAACTTTTTTTTATTATCCAGCCTAAACTTCCCTTGCCACAGCTTGAGACTGTGTCTTCTGGTTCTGTCAATTGCTGCTTGGAGAAAGAGACCAACCCCCACCTGACCACAATCACCTTTCAGGAGCTGTGCAGAGTGATAAGGCCAGGATGCCCTTGGCCTTCTTGGCCACCAGGGCACACACAGAATCACAGAATCCTGAAAGCTTTAAAAAGAACACATGAAAGCTTTAGAAAGTCTCAGATCACATTGTAGTAGAGCTGATGCTCTGAGTAAGCAAGAGGTAGAGTATAATTGTAGTGAATGCTCAAAGATGATTGAAATCCTTTGGGACAATGACTATTTTGATAGAACTCAAAGTCAACATTTAAAATGAAAAGGGATATGCACTAAAGAAAACATAAGGAGGTGGGATAAGCACCTTCAGATGACCTAACAACTATTATATGGAAAATTATCAAGGGATAACTTATGTCTCTATTAGGTAATTTAGCCATTTTTAAACTTCTATACTATCCCTGAAAAATGAACTTAATATAAGTCCTAAACCCTTCTCAGGCTGAAAAGGTTGTCCCCAGCACTCTGGCTTTACAATATTCCTGTGCTGTTGTAGATGAATTGTTGCTCAGCTGCCACCACAGTGGGACATTTCCAATTTGTATTTGGCTTCCTGTCATCCCATTTCTTGCAAATTGAAATTGTGATTGCTGCAGTCATTAACCTTTCAAACCAGCGGCTCTGTGGCAGTCCTTGTACAAGTGGTACTTCACAATAACTTGTGCAGACTATCAAGCATGGACTCAACATGTGGTCTTTCTTTCTCTTCTGTCCGTTGATAGATCTCTCCCAGTTTTAAAAGCATCCATTTAAAAAATACCTAGATAATGCTTTTGCTGCACAAAAGATGCTCCTGTGCTAAGTTTAAATGTTAATAATATTTTCATTTTGGTTGGTCATTCTGGTGAAAATGTTTGTAAAGCTTTGTGTTGTGAAACTCCTAGACTTTTCCAGAAAACTGGAAGGATTTTTCATGAACTTTAATTTTAGCTGGCTGTATGTCAGAAAAAATGTAAATTGAAGTCATAAATGCATAAAAATGTCGGTGGACACAT